GATTTTACGTTTTTCTAGAGTTTTATAGGAATGGAATCATACAGTATGTACTCTTTTTTTTTTTTATTACTCGATGAGGGACTGATGCAACTTCTTTCATTTAGCAAAATTATTAGTGTGTATTGTGTGCTTATCAGTAGTTCATTTCTTTTTATTACAGGTGGTATTCCATTATGTGGATCTACCAGTTTATTTATAATATTCCTCTGTTGATATGGACATTGGGGTTGTTTTGAATCTGGGGCTATTATAGATAAAACGGCAATCATGTATAGATCTTTATATAGATATATTTTCTTTTCTCATGGGCATATGTCTAGAATTGGAATGAATGGCTGGATTATATGGTCTATAAATACCATTTTTTTTTTTTTTTTTTTTTTTTTTTTTTTTTTTTTTAAATAAGTAGGAAGAAATGTTGAAAAGAGATGAAGTGAGGTATTGACACCTCAGGCAATTCGGGCTGATGATTTTAGGAGGCGAGTTTACATGGAGTTAGTAGGTGATAGTTTTCTTCTTTCTTTCTTTCTTTCTTTCTTTCTTTCTTTCTTTCTTTCGAGGCAATATTTTTTTATGCAGAGCAGAGAGAGAAGAGAATTCCAAGCAACTCTGAGCTTCTGCCCCAGGCCAGTCTGAGACTTGATCCCCACAGAACCCATGAGAGATCATGACCTGGGCTGAAATCAAGTGGGACCATAACCCGACTGAACCACCCAGATGTCCTATTGAATTGATACCTTTTAAAAACTGTCTCTGCCTGGTCATCATTGATCTTCCCTACGCACTCCCAGGGGTGAGTGCCACAGAAGACAGCTAGATGACAGAGAGTGCCTCAAATGTTTCTTTCAGTTCTGGCCTCTGCCCCAGCTCTGTGCTTTGGGTGTTCTGCCTGAGTAGAATTCTGGCTGCTGCCATATATAGCAGGCTGTATGGATGCCTGAGCAGGCAGAGGGATCAAATGTCCCATAGGAGAAATCCCTGCAGTGGTGGGATGGAGGTGAGTTAAAAGGTGGGAGCAAGCAGAGTGGCCCGTATATGATAAGGCACCAGGACTCTAAACTTGTGCTTTGTTCTATAGCAGAGTCTGGCCCTTCTTGTTGGCATGTCCATCTCTCTGATTACATTGTCTTCCTTCCCTTTCTAAGGGACAACTACTACCATGAGTTAAGTTTATAATCAAACTTTTCTCTTATATCCCTTCATCCCAGGGAACCACTAATATTATACCTTCTGTCTATTCTATATATATAAATAACAAAGTAGTGCTTTTATGTGCTATTCAATTAATATAAATGGCATTATTCTGAAGCATGTTCTGAAACTGCCTTTTTAAGCTGGGCATTTATCTTGTCTCTATGCATTATTCATGCGCACATAGAGAACTAGTGTACTTCTTTTTTTTTAATTCTTTTTTTTATTGTGATATACTAACATAAAATTTTAACCTTTTAAGTGTGCAACTCAGTGATCTTAAACATATTCATAATTTTATAAAGCATCACCCTCTTCCAAATTTTTTTTTATCATCCCAAACAAACTCTATGCCTATTAACTCCCCCCCACTTTCCCCTCCTCTCCACATGCCTTTCTTATACTTTCTGTCTCTATAAATTTGCCTTTCTGTTCTATGAATTTCTACTATGAATTGTCTTTGGAGTCTGCCTTTGTTTTTGAAAAGATAGTTTTGCTGAACAAATAATTCAGGGTTAGCAAATTTGTTGTTTTTTGCATTTTAACCCGTCTTCTAGCTTGTATTGTCTCTGATGCAAATCCTTGGTCAGTGGCCTTTGTTTTTTTCTATAACAATGTGTCTCTTGGAATACCTTACAAGATTTTCTCTTTATTGTTGG